TTTTATCTTCCTCGTACGTCATTTTTTTTAACCGTTTTACCGAAATCATTTCAATCGGATTTTCGAAGAGACTTTACCTAAGCTGATGAGAGTAGAATATTCAACAACGGAGTTGCTTCTGGTAAGATCATATGAGAGGGGACATTGTGGGATTTGTTTCCGAGAAGACAAAAGAGAGATTTATAGAGTTTTATATTCTACAAAAGTGAAATATATGTTTCTTTTTTCGATTCTGGTTTTCAGGGCCTAGAATACGAACTTCGACATCTCATGTTAATCTTGCACTTAATCTTATGTTTGCAACCGTTGTCTTGTTTAAGTATTTTCTTTAAGAAGCAGCAGGCCTGCCAAACGATGATTTTAAGGCAACATTTTTCTCTTATAATTCATTAAAATTTCGTTTAACACGTTCGAATTATAAATTCATGGTTGATGGTACAAAATGAGACGAAGAAACTGGACTAGTGGATAGATGTCGACGTTTCGAAAGGAAAATTACTGCTTGGTTAAATTCCCGATGATATAGCAATACGTACTTACAAATCTACGCTGCATTACAAACCACAAGACCGACCTTAAATTTCCTGATGTTTTTTCGCTGAGTTTTGTGGGGCTGAGCTTTCGACTATAGGGAGACCAGCATCCCTGTCCCAATTTTTCCCTTTGGTACCTTTCCCTAATTTAAAAGTACTGTTAGCAGCATTTTATAAAGTAGAACATTTCGCGATCATACTTAGTACTGACTTAATACACCGTGGCAACAAAATACAAATTAAAATGTCTATGAACTTCTATTCAGGTGACGTATTCGTAAACTAATTGCTCCACAATGGCGACCCAAATTTGAAATCTTTGATCATAGGTGCACGACTTATGACGAGATCCTTATACCCCAGCTGCAGCACTGAGATGGTAGACATCCTCTCCCCACAGGACGATGCTCCTCTGCGCAGTGGGTTGGACCTATCCGGTGGCCGCCAGGGTCACCGGACCTCACATCCGTTGATTTTTAATTTCTGGGGGCTACGTGAAGAATGTAGTTTGTACTTCTCCCCTGCCATAGTACTTAAGAGTCTACATTCAGGCGAGACGTGTGCTGTATCGCCCCTGGAAGCCACGTCGACTACCTGTGAACAAAAAACATGAATGTCTAGCCACTTTATTTTTTATTTTAGTGTTCTGTCTGACGACAGGTCCATATGAACAGGATCCTTCCATCCTTTTCTCGGACTGGGACCTGTTCATATACGTTCTTGGCAGATGATCCAGAAGTGGTTTGCCATTGCCTTCTTCTGTGTGTGAATGGAGTAATTGTTGGGATGCCACGGAGGAAAACTCCGTGTTGCCTAGACCACGGCCTTGCCAAACACAAGTTATAAATTCGGGCACCGCCGGGAATCGAAAATTGTGGAAAAAATCATTTTTTCAAAATGTGACCCCGATTAAAAACCATAAGTCCCCTAAATTTCACTTTAATTGATACATCTATATGCCTAGGAAGCATTCTGTCACTCGATGATATACAGTAAGCATCGTTATATAAGTCAAACAAACAAACAAACAAACAGTGGCACTATTTTCTTAAATAGCAGACACTTGTGTTCCATTCCATTTAGCCAACCACAACGTACGTAGTTAGATGAAAGTTCCTGAACATAAAACAGACTTTTGCGTAGGCATGAGA